TAGCAGAAGAAAAACATATATTCTTCAAAAAATTTCTTACAAAATTACTCAAAAAACCAAAATCATAAATGATTCTAAAGGGTTGTTAACCCCCCAAGTGGTAGGTTGGGTGTTCAAATCCCATCAACAGTAAAAATTTGGATAATCATCTATGTAAGGCCATACAAAATTAATTAATTGGTTTTCATAACCCGGCTGGGCCAAAATTTAAAAGTTTATAAAAAATTTTTTTATATGTTTTCATAATCGGATGGGTTTTTAAAAAAAATTTTCAAAAATTTTATAAAATTTATATATGAAAAATTAAAAAAAAAGCCAGCTGACTGGGTCTGATCAAAAATTTTATGATATAAAAACCAAGATATTAAATTTGTGTGGCCTAATATTCATATTACGGCAACTGTTACTAATAATTGGGTTAGGATACCTGTAATGGTGGTCGCACCAGCATGACTGGCAGGTTATGGGGCATTTGTGCAATGTTGGAGTTATATAGAGGAATGCAAACAGACAAATCAGGTAGTGCAAACACTAGATAAGTTCTTGTGACCATGTAAATTCGTTGAAATCAGGTAACAAGAAGTCCATTTAGGAAGACCCGAGTAGAGAGGTAGCTGGATCTTCGATGGCCCTACTGTAAAGGCTAGCCTAAAGAAATGGATACCCAGGTCTAGTACCCAGTCCTAGTAGCCAGACGGGCAAGAACCTTCAGGTTGGAAGTCTTGGAAATATCACCAACCAGGCCACTGGAATGAACTGGAGAAAAAGGATATTGGGCTGACCTGATATACCAATAGACTGGTCTTAGTCCTATACAGGCTATCTGGATTGGGAGCTTGGTATGGGAGTTTTGTAAAAGGGCAAGAAAAAAGGCAGAGATATACTAAAATACCAGGCTTATGCTGTGAAGTAGATGCTAGGGTCTAAGTGAACTCTACAAGGGCATAGTGATTTAATGGTTAGCCCTGACCGCAAGTGTTGGTTCTGCTATAGTGATACCTAGATCAGCTGTAAAAATAGGTACAAAAGGCTCTGGGAGGTTTATCTCAAGAATAAATTAGTCTTAAGGTTGAGGACGATGATCTGGTACATCTGAGATGACCAGTAATGTTAACACAGATTACAGGTTCAGAAGGTTTAAAGTGGAACACCCAAGCAGAGGTGTTAGGTACAGCAATTGGTAGAGAACCTTTGGGCAGACTCCTTAAATAGGTAATATAGAAAAGTTACATATGTAGCCAATTGTACACTCTCCTGTAGTGGTTCATTGAACTACAATACTGATAAGTGATTAATAAAAGTCAAAAGACCAAAGAGGTCATCTTAATACCAAAAAAATAAAAAATAAAAAAATAAATGATTCTAAAGACAACAAACAAACAAAAACAAACAAAATTCAAAAAAACCAAAATGAAAATGATCAAAAGCAAAATGATAAACAAAAGGAAAATGAAATTACACAAAAATATAATACAACAAATGACTTTAACTAGTTTCAAAACTATTCTATTACTCCTGAAATGCAACAACATAATAAATTAAGCATATTACTTATTTTACAAGTTTTTTCACTTCTAAAATCACATCTTGTAAACTTCAATTTAGGACAAGCAATCTTTACTGAACCAACTGACACAAAACCAAATAACAGACCTTCTGCCAAATATTCATTTAACTATATATTTAACAAAATGGCTAATAACAAACCCAAATTTATAACTGACTTTATTTTTGAAACTAATTCTGAATTTGACAAATCAAACCCTATTTCTTTCAAAGTTTTAATGAAATTCTTAAAGGTTTATTATCCAAATTTACAACAGTACTCTTTACTTAACTAAACTATTTATATATTCTTTAATCACATTACTCTATTTTATCATGCTCAGCAAACAACAAGAAAAAAGTTGCTATTAACATGGCATGCCTACACTTATATTTAAACTATATATACAAAACTATTAACTTTGAAAAATTTATCAAAAAACTTGACATCAAACCTCTGACTTTACTTTAAACTTTGATATCAATTATGATGCAGAAAAGCTATTATTCGATATTTAAAATGACAATAGATTCAATATTAAAGTTAAATTAAACATTCTTGCAAAAAAATTTGAAGATGACTTCAAAATTTCTTCACTTAAACTCCATATCAAAACTTATAAAACCTGGTTTCAAAAATTCTTTAAAAAGTACAAAATTTAATTTGAAAAAATTGATCAACAAAAAACAAGCAACTATATTAAAATGTTAATATCTTAAAACCTTATCAAAGACTGCAAAGAACTTTTACCAGAAACTTACTCCCTTTCAAATATATTACCTACACTTCAAGAATGTTCTAAAGCTATTTTTAAAGTAACACTTTACTATTTTCTTAAATGTAATAGCAAATCTTACAACTTACTACTAGAAAATACAAAACATTGTCTTGAAAGTATTTCCAATTACTATTTCTCACAATCATTCAAATTTCATTCAGTATTAAAATCTAATACAAAAAAAATGGGACCACTCCTCATTAGAAACCAAATTATTTCAATCTGATTAACAATTGGAAGCAATATTCTTAAAACTAACATCTACGACTGAACTAAGAAAACTAGCCATATCAACTGAAAAGAAATTTGCATTACTTAACAATATAAACAGTGAAATCTCTTGAACTACATATTATTTTTTCAATATCTTAAAAAATATTTACAAACAGCAGCAAAAAATGATGGTATCTAAGAGTTATCTAAAGAGAAAGCTCTTGAAAAAATTATAAACTCTACCACTGATGTACATATATTGGCTTGTATAATTACCTATTATAAAATCTGATTTCAATTTAAGATATCTCTCAAACAAATTAAAATTGATTATAATAAAATATACTACTCTAAAGCTAAAAATTTTTATATTAAATACTTTAATATCTCTATTTTTATACAATATAATAACATGCTCTTTATACAAAAATCAAATATTTTTAAAGAAAAAGAAAACTCAACTATATCTACTACTAAGAACATCAATTTTGAAACCTTACCTCTTAAAATGAATTCATTGAAAACTCCAATTTAAAAAAAAACTCCTTTTCAATAAGTTCTTCTACAGATAACATTAAAGCAACTGCCACCTCTAAGATTATAATGTCTTTCACTTTTAGTGGGCCATTCTTAGAGAAGAATGATGACAGTAGACAGGCAGTAAAGCCTATTGTAGTAAAAAAACAGGATTATGTCAACCAGATACAATGTACCAGGCAGGTTATAGTATCCTCTACAGCTGTGCAAGCTGAGCTTAAAATGATGAATCAGTGTTAAAAATCTTATGTTCTCATGTTCTCATGAGAACATTGTATTTAATTTGAGAACATTTATTAAATTTAAGATGTTCTCTATAAAATTTTTTTTAAGAACATAAAGTTTAAAAAATATGTTCTCTATGTGTTTATTATTTAAGAAAGAGAGAAAGAAAAGAAAGTAAGAGAGGAAGAATTTTTTACTATTTGAGAATATAAAATAATTTTGAGAATACTAAATTAAATAATTTGTTTTGATGAAAATATAAATCTCAATACTACTGTGTTTCTATCTTTTATTTACTTGATCTGGCCTTTGTGTTCTATATAATCATAGTAGTCTACATAGTTAAAATAGCCTTAATTGGCTGATACAAGCTTTTCAAATTACTAAATACAATAGCTTTTTCATTATAATTGAAGTCAGTGACTTAACCTGTCACAGATTATGGACATGCAAGGTGGTAATTGAAATCAGTGGCTTAACCTGTTACAGATTACAGACATGCCCTGTAAACTATATACTACATATTTTGTACACTGTTTCTGTTATATACATTTATTTATTAAATATCATTTAGCTATTTTGGTTAAGTTTGTTTAACAATAATTTTAGCACAATCTATATAATCAAATCTGTTTTTATATTATGATAATTATTTTAACAAAATATAGTATCAGTCAAACAGTCAGTTTGGTCAGTTAGAATTTGTGACCAAACTGTTAACATCTCTATAAGTGGCAGACAAAAAAATCCTGTAAATCTACTTACAAACATACATCTTATTAAAGCTTAGCTTTGAAGAATTAACTATATGCACATATTTAGCATAAATAATTTTAATAACATATTTATTGCAAATCCTATTCTTTAATTACATATGATTATTTAAATCAGATTCTTTAGAGGCTAAGTCCAATAAAGTTAAGTTAGAAAGTCAATTTACAGATTTTCTTTGTTCATCACTCATAAAATAAGTTGTTTAATAATATATTTTACTGTAATGTTCCTTGTAATAAGTTTGGCTCTTGCACAAAACAGTAACTATGCAGTAAGCAAGATAATTATCATTATTGTTTCTTTCTAAATGCTCTAAGTGCTAATCAGTACTTTTTTTTTTAATTAGCTTTTATCTAAACCGATATTTTAGATTACCCTGTACACTGCCATAACACACTTTTCCCTGAAGTTTTCTTAGATTCTTGTTGTTTACATTTATCAATTGTTCTATTGATCCTTAAGCCACTAATATAGTCATCCCAATGATGATCATACTATAAGAATTTATTTGATCAATTATATGAAAATTACTCTTTTAGAAAACCTGCAAATTCAAAATAATTTTACAGGTTTTATCTTGGTAGTATCGATAGAAAATTCTTTATGTAATTTTATTTGAAAGCTATTTACTTTGATCATTTAATTTAAATAACAAAAATTCTGTAATATTTTGCAATAATACTACTTGTGTCTTAAAATACAATTATGTAAAATTATTAGCAAATATTAAAAAATCAGTTTATTCATCATCAAGCTTTATTTTTGATCTTTATCCTTCTCTTTTTTAATCCAATCAGGACTTCTATCAAAAACTGCAACTTATATTTTTAACAAAATGCTTATTTATTATCATGTCTTATCTCAAGGTCTTTATCCCCTCTTCAGAGCCAATCATAGTGCCTGCAGAAAACCATCCCTTATATATTGATGCTGTATAACTATATAATAAGTAGCTGTGTGATGTTGTTATGCAAAACCAGGAACAAAAGGTGGATGAGTTGCAGATGAAACTGCTTTCATTATAAGTTTTTTGTTTGCTTAACTTTTATAAGTTTAATTTGCAACTTTAAATTAGATTATATGTGCAGTAGATCGAATACTAACTATGTTATTTAGGTAAACTTTATATGCAATTCAGATAGATTAGTATTAGTATAGTATAGATGTAGCATTCTTGCATATATATAGTTTTTTTAAAATAAATAATTTACTTTTGTTGTTATATTATTTCATGTAACTGATAAATATAATAAACATTTATTGATGAGTGTATTTATAATAAATTATATATAATATATTAATCCTATTATAATTTAGCTGGCAAATTTCATAATTGATTTGTTAAGTACTAAGTATTTTACATTCACAAGTGCAATTAATCCATCCTTGTATCTGGGCACTTTATATTCTAGACCTCTGAAAATTATGAGAAGTATTATAAACAGGGACTTTTAGTCTATGCTATATAGTGATTTGCGATTAAACATAAGTATAAAAAGCAGAGAATCAAGCATTTGATAGCAGTAAGTAGGTTAGTAAAGTGATAAATAGATCAATTCTTAAGTGTATATTTGAAAAATACATACCTTTGAAATATTGAACTTAGAATAGCTAAAATAAATGAATACAGTTAGATGAAAGTTATTATTTTTTAGATAAAATCTGTAGCATATTTTAATAGTATATAGATTCGATTAAAATTTAATTACAGTTAAATATTTATTGCAATAAGCCTCTAATTATGCAATCTCTTTAAATGCACTCTTAAATCCTAGCTCAAATATATACTTTATCTTAATAAGCACTTTTTATTATTCCCCAAGTGTCTCTTATAAAAGTCAAGTCTTTATAAACATTACTTAGAGAGTTTTAACTTAGTACAATTCTAATTAATTTAAGAATTATTATAATTTATCCAATAGGATTAAGACTGAGCCTCTTTTTTTTAGAAACAACATTTGTATAAGTTACTAAACATTATATTTAACTTCTTAAAAATATATGAAATTATACAGATGTCTCAGTACTAACCATTTTGCTTCTATACTTTATAACAATATAGTCAGAACAGAGAACAAAAATGGGTAAAATCAAGAACAATTTAATAAATGCATAACAAGGTTAAAAGCTGAGATAATAAATTAATATTATTCAATAAGCTAGAAAGGATAATTATCTGATCACAAATATCTAATTTGCATTTTTTTTTATCATGTGTCATACTCTATGTTGTACATTGTACAAACTCTATTCCTGTATATGCAGATATAACAATAGTTCTATTCAATTAGTTTTTTAAAAAGACTAGTCTAAATGATAAACAATGCATATTAACACAGTTGATAAATTATAATAAATACAATTTTGTATTATTTATTTTATCTTTTATTTATTTTATTACAATATTAAACAAGAAAAAGAAAGAATGTTTATACATACTAATAGAAACAAATCCATTTACTTTAGCTGTCCAAGTTACAAAATTAACAATTACAACTAACAATAATAATGAATTATTATCAAGTTCAGAGTCACCAAATGAAAATGAAACTAATTCAAATGATGAACTTCAAATTTGATCAGATAATATTAAACATCCTTGACTTAATAAAAAAATTTAAAATGGAATTCTGACTGGCTTAAATTCTATCCATGGATTAGAGCTAAACCATTAATAAATTCTTCGAAATTATATTGCAAATAGTGTGAAAAAGCAAAATTTAGTAATATTTTTACTGAAGGTACTGATTGGTTTAAAGAACAATATTTGATTCATCATTTAAAATCAAAAGATCATCAAAAAGCACAAGAAATTGAAACATGTACTCAATTAACTATTCATAAAAGTATTAGAAAACCTTTGTTAACAGAAAAATTAAAAGTAATTCAAAATATGCATAATATGTATTGGTTAGTAGAAAATAATATACAACATTAAATATTCAAGGGTTGTGTAATCTAGTAGAAATGCAAATTCAAAATCAAGAAGATTATATAACTTCAACTAACATATGTACTATTAGACTTGTTTCTTTAATAAATATAGTATCAGAAGAAAGATGAAAATATGGTTTATATTCAAATAATTATGCTGGGTATGATTTTATTAAGGCAATAGCATGAGTAATTAAAGAATCAACTATTAAAGAATTAACTGAATCTCCTATCTGAAGTATAATGATTGATGAAAGTACTACAATTACAAAT